GTAGCATGAAATAGCTGTTTTTTTTAGACTTAACGTGACATAACGCTCTGTAGCATGTAATAGCTGTTTTTTTTAGACTTAACGTGACATATCGCTCTGTAGTATGAAAGAGGTGTTTTTTTTAGACTTAACGTGACACATCGCTCTGTAGTATGAAAGAGGTGTTTTTTTTAGACTTAACGTGACATAATGCTCTGTAGTATGAAATAGCTGTTTTTCAGACTTAACGTGACATGACGCTCTGTAGCATGAAAGAGCTGTTTTTTTTTAGACTTAACGTGACACATCGCTCTGTAGTATGAAAGAGGTGTTTTTTTCAGACTTAACGTGACATGACGCTCTGTAGCATGAAAGAGCTGTTTTTTTTAGATTTAACGTGACACATCGCTCTGTAGTATGAAAGAGGTGTTTTTTTAGACTTAACGTGACATATCGCTCTGTAGCATGAAAGAGCTGTTTTTTTTTTCTAGACTTAACGTGACATATCGCTCTGTAGCATGAAAGAGCTGTTTTTTTTTTCAGACTTAACGTGACATAATGCTCTGTAGCATAAAAGAGCTGTTTCTTTTTAGACTTAACGAGACATATCGCTCTGTAGTATGAAAGAGCTGTTTTTTTTAGACTTAACGAGACATATCGCTCTGAAGTATGAAAGAGCTGGTTTCTAAAACGAACACCTCATGTGTCTGGTACATTTATATATATATGTGTGTATATGTTTCTGTGTCTGTATACTCACACTAATAACTTGAGCTGTCATAAAATAATGTCACGATTAATTCTCAAATGAAACTATTTCGTAGGTGGCGTTCATCACCAGAGAGAAATCACGATTTATACATGCATTATTCAGTCAAAATAAAGCCTGTTTTCCAAGCACGAATAGATTATATGAAAGTAAGTACAATTTTGCTCCGATTTTAACAAAAAAGAACAAACAATTTAGAGAAGCTCTCAACATATCCAGAAAAGAACCGTATAACTGCTCATAAACCTTCATAATGTTATATGTTATCGTCTCTCTGAAGTCATAGTAAAGGGTTTGTTTGTTTGGATTTCGCGCAATACTACACGAGGACTATCTGTGCTGGCCGTCCCTAATTAAGCAGTGAATAACAAAAGGAAAATCAGCTTGTCATCATCACCCACCGCCAACTCTTTTTTCCTTATTTCACCGAAACATTCAATACAAGTGAATAGACGGTCAAACCTTACAAATCAGCAATAATGTTAATAGATACATTCAGCTTTAATTAGATTATTTTTTTTAATATCAGTTGTATATTCAATTGTGTGAGTGACAGTTTCTTGCAACATCAACTAATCTGATCCTGATTTTGACACTTCAATAGATACATTCAGCTTTAATTAGATTTTTTTTTAATATCAGTTGTATATCCAACTGCGTGAGTGGTTGTTTCTTGCAACATCAACTAATCTGATCCTGGTTTTGACATTTCAATATTAAAAGTTCCAGCAGATTATTTGGAAAAAAAAAAGGAGAATATTTTGATTCCATAGCAACTAGTTGGTATTATGTAAACAAATTGGTATTTACTAGGTAATCTGTCGCTCCATAGATTACGAAATTCCATGAACGAAGGTTATAATAGAGGTTATTATAGATAAGAAAAGGCCACTCCTTGTTTTTTTCACGAGATTTAAGGAAACAGCCGAAAGTAAAAAGAAAAGAAAAAAAGCAGTAACGGTTTCATTATTAGTTTCGGAAACACCCACCATATTTGAAGAATGAAGTTTCTGTTATTATATCTAGGTAAGTTATACCAATTTATCCACTTCGGTCGTTCACTGTTTAGCGCATTCAATCATGTAACTTGTTCGTTCGGAAACTATGTTAACAGATTTATTAACAATTATTTCCGAATGGTGAAGCACTAGAGCACATACTGTCGGCTGCATGTCTCCACCATTTTGTGAACTGCATAGCTGAGAGCTACAAAGTATTACAGTGGCAGAGGCTTAAGGCTTTTGTTTCTGAATCACAAATAAACAATTTTGTTAACATAGTTTCAGGGCACCGTTTACATAAAAATAATTTATGACTCCATATCTTTGTTATTAATAGAAACTACCAATTCTAGTTATCCTAGTAACGTAAATATTTAGTTTAACGTAGTTTTCAGAGAATATAACGTGAAAGGTAAATATGAATTAGACTATAAATTATGCTTGTGGTAGTTTTGTTAATGGAGAAAAATGATAATATATATATTCCAAAACTAAACGTTTCGATTCCGACTTGTAATAAGACACCTATAAGTAACACGCCTCATTACATTTACCCCCACCTCAACCGATCTCAACTTTAAGTTTGTATCAGTTGAATATACAAGAACATTAGGACATTAAAACATAATTTATAATTCCTTTAATTTCTGAAATATATGAGGGGCATTACTAGTTTTCTTTCAAGATTTAAAACATTTAACAACGTCGAACAAACCCAGACGTCTCAAATATTCCTAGTTGTAAGTGGATCAGTTGAACCAAGAAAGCTATTCGATTTGCATTGCATTTGTTTGGCCAGATATCCATTTTTTTCTTTATGTTATTGCGATGCATTCAACCATACGATACGACATTTGAATATTATAGGGTTGAGTACGTTACGTTAAAACGATTTTAAATATGCAAATCAGCAAGTTACACGACAACCACAACCATTATATAGCCGCAGTAGAACAGGGTGACATGTTAACATTGTTTGGCGTTTCGTGTAGGTAGTGTAATGGCATCGAAAACTGATCGCTTTTGCAAAGAGTATGTAACAGCTCTTTCCAATAAAAGCTACTTCTACGACATATTTGTTCAACGTAGCATAGCTCAAGCAGCCGAAGAATGAAGTGGACATTCATACGATTCCACATGAAGACATATCCGTCAAGTCGCCGGATTTCTGTGCGACTGAACTGTTGAAATGTACACTGAGTAACGGTCATCTTCGTGCACTAAGTGGCTTATGAAAAGTATACAGGGAGAAGTGGTGTGCTTTAGGTAAGACAGTTTTACAACGGAGCCTTTTTTCAATGGAAAAGAACTATTGTAAAAATGCTCTATTAACAGACAGAGTATAAACGGACGTGATGATATGAACTATATAATTTAATATAATTTACTAAACCGTCTGTAGTGTTTAATAATAATTACACTTTTGCAGACGAAAACAACTATTCTGCCGTAAACCAAATACTGTCTTTCTAATTTGGAAGAAACGTCTCACTAAGAGTTAATCGTATTTTCTAAGATCAATGTTCCAAGACTCGTGCTTCTTTTAGACCTCGTTCCTCCATCACTGGCTCTACTTATTCTGGTGACTATGGTTACGCACTACTGCGTAAAGTTGGTATTAGAGTGCACGGTTTGATCAACTTTCCACGGATATCTTATATGATTAGCTTTATAGACAAGCTTTAAGCATACTAAAGGCCCAAAAATCCATTAGAACTGTATCGGGTAGTTGACTTGTGTATATTCGAATAGAAATAATACGACTTTAGTATCGTCATCTATTTTTATTGTGAAAAACAGTTGTTTATTTCTGGAAGACGCTGTGCTAATATCCTAAAAACAGTTGTTTATTTCTGGGAGACGCTGTGCTAATATCCTAAAAACAGTTGTTTATTTCTAGGAGACGCTGTGCTAATATCCTAAAAACAGTTGTTTATTTCTGGGAGACGCTGTGCTAATATCCTAAAAAACAGTTGTTTATTTCTAGGAGACGCTGGGCTAATATCCTAAAAAACAGTTGTTTATTTCTGGGAGACGCTGTGCTAATATCCTAAAAACAGTTGTTTATTTCTGGGAGACGCTGTGCTAATATCCTAAAAA